GTTTTAGTCTTTATTTACAGTTTTGGGGTTTTATAATCAGTTTTTCGTCACAAAAGTAAACATCAACAAGCAAATAAAACTTTTAACATACATAGAAGAGGTGATGCCTTTAAAATTTAAAAAGCTTGTTCTTTGTAAATGTCTTTAAAATATGTATTTTGACATTTTTAAATGAAATGACAATCATTTTTGAAGGGAACTGTCCCCATCAAATTTAAAATTTAATTCATTTAAACCCTCTCATTTACCATAAAACATTAGTTCATCCAGTGTTTCTCTTGCTTAACAAATAAATTTATTTCATTTTACCTATAGAATACTCACATTAAGTATTTTCCTATGTAGGTAAAAATCTGTTTAACAACCTGTTAAAATACACCAGAATGCAGGAAATGGCATTTACTTCTTTAAAAAAATTTCTGGGGGAGGACCCCCAGACCCCCCACCACTGGGTCCCCCCAACATTACAAATACTTACTCTTGTTTTTTGTCTCTGAATGTCATAAATTCAGTTATATTATCTGTGAAATTACAAACTGAACATCTGTTGGCTAATATACATAGCTTTATATTGCCATAGTTTTTAATTTGTCATTTTTACAAACGCATCAGAAATTTTCTGTTATAGATATTAGTTTTGGTGCGCCATTCCTGGTTTTTTTAGTTCCCTCTCTTCAGCCACTTGGACCAGCTCACCGTGCACAGGAAACTCATTGCAGCTGCTTGTATCTGTGATCTCCTTCTTTCAGTCACTACCCAAAGCTCCTGACCATAGATGAGGGTAGGAACGTAAACCGACTGGTAAACCGGCCGGTGAATACACTGACCAAAGTGTATTTTATTTTAGTCTTTGTAACAATGCTTCTTGGCAACAAAGCCTGTTTATTTCCACTTTAAAAGGCGCCACATCTGTGAGGAGATGAGTTTGTCAGTTAAGCAGCAGAGTTGGCACGAGGAAGAGGCGCTGTATATGGTTCTTTCACATGCCGACTGAGGTCCCTGTTCGCTAAACGAACCAACGGTTATCGTGCCAGGGTATTTTGCTCTGACTTCAAGCATCCAGTTTAATAAAAAAACACCAAACAAGAGTCAACAGCAGAAAAAGCTGTTTGGCATCAGCAGATAATCTGGCAAGTTTCCACCCACAAAACATATCCTTCCTACAAACGTGGCTCCGTTTAATAAACAGGCCTCCCAACGGTACAACATTTACAGCCAAGAAGCATTGTGACAAATACAATCAGAAATGTTCTTATTTTATGTGCTAAATTCAGACTATTGTGTGAAGACTTTCTACAATGTTGAGATTTAATAAATTGTAAATTATGGCTTTAAAGGTGCTGCTACTTGCTTTTTAGCCATGAGCTGGTATCTCAACATTTACAGAGTGATTAATTGTGATTGTGAGTTTTCTGTTTGCATCTGTTTCACAGATTGACTATGAATATTTTTTGCCTGTGGTATTTTTATATATATATTTTATTAGGCTCCAGGGAGAGCACATGGCCCCAGACAAGAGTCAGCTACATTTACAAACTTGCTTTTAATAGCAAAACAAAGACCAAATCCATTTTATTTTCAAGCTTTTTGAAAATATAACCTGTATAAGACGGTAATATAATAATCAAGGCTCAAAATGTGGGGAAAATATCTGCTGCAAAGGCCTGGGGAAGACTTGTACGGAGCCCGCGAGGGGACATGGGGGGATTTTTTTCTTTTGCGTTACCTCGCAATACCTTTGCGTTCCCTCACAATACTTTTGCATTACCTCGCAATACCTTTGCGTTCCCTCACAATACTTTTGTGTTACCTTGCAATAACTTTGTGTTCCCTCGCAATACCTTTGCGTTCCCTCGCAAAACTTTTGTGTTACCTTGCAATACCTTTGTGTTCCTTCACTATAATTTTGTGTTACCTTGCAATACCTTTGTGTTCCTTCACTATACTTTTGTGTTACCTCGCAATACCTTTGTGTTCCTTCACTATATTTTTGTGTTCCCTCGCAATACCTTTGTGTTCCCTCGCAATACCTTTGCGTTCCCTCGCAATACCTTTGTGTTACCTCGCAATACCTTTGTGTTCCCTCGCAATACTTTTGCTTTACCTCGCAATACCTTTGCATTTCCTCGCAATACCTTTGCGTTCCCTCGCAATACCTTTGCATTCCCTCACAAAGCATTTGTGTTACCTCGTAATACCTTTGCATTCCCTCGCAATACTTTTGCGTTACCTTGCAAAAACTTGTTTTGTATATGAACTGAATTAAATCAGACTTTTATTTTGAAATATCCGGTTATCAAAATAGGATGTGTCGCCACAAGTTCGTGAAATCGACATTAATGTTGCGTGGCTGCACTGTGTTAAAATATCAGCATATGACATACTTCCATGCGTGGCTGTGTGATATATTCATTCTGAAGCTGAATTAAAGCAGTAGGCTAACTTGCTAATGGTGAACATGTGAGTTTGTTAATAAACCGGCAGCACAACAGTGTTTAACGACTTGTGTGAGGGAACGCAAAAGATATTGCGAGGTAATGCAATACTTTCGCGTGGGAACACAAAATTTAAAAAAATCCCCCATGTCCCCTCGCGGGCTCCGTAGACTTGCACTTTTGGATTTGTTAGTTGTGATTTAACCAAAGTGCCCGAGCTCGCAGCTTTTTCTTTCTTTGTCTTGAAAAATGGAAAGCAGCGGAGCGAATGGCGGCGTGTCATAAGTAACGGTTTCTGGAAATCTTTTGTGAGCTGATGAAATTTTCCTGGGAACTGCATTACACGTTCCACTAATGAGTCCATTACTTTCCTCACTCGTTCAATAAACAATGACGCGATGATGATCGAGGATAAACGAGAATGCATCTCTCCGTCTACTATTCTCTCACATCCATTTCATCCCATTTGCTCCTTTCCATCTGTCTAACTTACCAAACAGAGTTGCATTAGTGAACGCGCTCCTCATCCAGTTGTACTGCTTTCCATTGTGGGTCCAGTCAATTATGTAACCGCTGACAGGCTGAGCAGGCGCCATCCAGCTGACCTGGATGTCGCCTTCACGCTCTGAGGTCTGGATGTCGGTGATTTGTGGAAGACCTGTCGGCAAGATGAACAGCAAGCTTTTAAACAAACGGGGAAAACTATCACTGCAATAAAACACGATGAGAAAATAAAATAAAAACTCACTCTCTTCCTTGGCTGGAACATAAACAGACTTCTCCACTATCAGGCCTTCATCATTGGACATCGTGAGGAATAATTTATGTGCATGTTGGTCCACTTCAACGTCACAAGCTGGGCTCCCACAGGAAGCATGGGTATAGTTTCCAACGATCTTGTTCTTCGTGTAGGAAGTTTGTTTAATGGTGTAGTTTAATGACTCGTCACATGTTGAGGGGATGCCCTGTGCAAGACAACGTAACTTAGTGAGCAAACAGATGAGAGGAAAACAATAAAAAAAACAGGCAGCTCTTTGTTACCGTCCACATGAGATGGACTTTTCTTTTTCCGTCTTCCCCCTCCGCCGCCACTTTTCTCCACATGCGCAGCCTAATCTGACGCTCTGCAGAGAAAAATAAAATGAATAAAAAGTTTAAAATGCAATATGATGGCAGTGGAGCAGACGTGCAGACACATGAGGCTCGTCAGCTCGGGTTTTGAAGCAAAGCCAAGAAAAGGGAAAGTTTGATGGCTTTCACACATGGAGCTAAAAGTAAAACAGCCTGGAGCTCGTAGCAACCGCTGTAAACAACTCTTATCACCGTGTAAATCCCTGTTTGGTTGTGGTTTTCCAGGAAACGGTCGTAGAAACAACCCTGTGCAACGCGAAAACCCTTTTGTAGCGAGGAACAATAACTGTGGGTTGGGCTGAATGTGTTAACTGTCGTCAGGTTTGGGACTTTTTCAAACAGGGTCAACATTTTGTCCCTGTATAATCAACTTTTAACTGTAAGCATTGAATCACAGGTTGGGACATGAATGTCAACTCACGGTGAGATTTTTTACCATCCAAACAGCACAACACGGTTTCATTTAAAGCTTTTTCATTTTAGAATAAACAGATCTTTTTCTTTTCCCGTACCTTTCTTGTTCCACAATTTCACTATTTTAACATTTTGTACATGAAACTGTTCAGCTCCTTCAGGACATTCTGACCGTGACTTTTGATATTTCAGCAGTTTATACGTTTTGAGATATTGATCCTTTTCTGCCAGTTTTCGTCTCAGTGAAAAATGAAAGGAGCTGTCTTCAACGTCCTAAAACACTTAAAAATGTTCAGAATTTTTTACTTCACATTTCACTTTTTGTTCTGGTTCTGTTTTTTTAACTACTTTGTGCTAATTTCAGCTTCCTTCAGCTTTTTTTGTGCTGATTTTAGTTATTTTCGTCACCTTTCAGCTTTTTTGCACTTCTTTACTGCTAATTATAATTTTTATGCTCATTTCAGCTTCATTCTGATGTTTTATTTATTTATTTATTTATTTGTTGATTTTCAGCTACTCCTTTACCTGATTTCCCTCTGAGATCAACAAAGTATTTTTGAATTTGAATTTAATTGAATTTTAATAGCAGTTTTTGCTAAATTTGGTGTCATTCAGCTAAATTTATATTTTTGTGGGTTTTTTTCAGCTTTTTACAGCTTAATTTAGCAAATGTGTTTCTTCCATTTCTCTCTGCTAATTTCAGTTTTTTTAGCTTGTTTTTAGTTTTTTCATACTAATTCCTGCTTAATTTATTTGTAAAATACTTTGTTTGTAAATTCCCCTTTTTTGCCCCTTGCAACTTCTCTTACAGTGGTTTGCAAAAGTATTCATACCCCTTGAACTTTTCCATATTTTGTCACATTACAACCACAAACATAAATATATTTCACTGGAATTTAATGTGAAAGACCAACACAAAGTGGTATACAATTGTGAAGTGGAAGCAAAATTTTACATGAATCAAAACATTTTTTACAAATAAAAAACTGAAAAGTGCGACGTGCAAAAGTATTCAGCCCCCTTTTCCCTGAGTGCAACCAATTGCATTCAGAAGTTGCCTGATGACTGCTAATGACTCAAAAGGGTCCACCTGTGTGTAATCTAATCTCAGTACAAATACAGCTGCTCCGTGACGGCCTCAGATGTTGGTTAAGAGAATATTGGGGAGCAAACAGCATCATGAAGTCCAAAGAACACACCAGACAGGTTAGGAATATGGTTTTGGAGAAGTTTAAAGCAGGCTTAGGTTATAAAAAGATTTCCCAAGCTTTGAACATCTTACGGAGCACTGTTCAATCCATCATCCAGAAATGGAAAGAGTATGGCACCACAGTAAACCTGCCAAGACAAGGCCGTCCACCTAAACTTACAGGCCGAACAAGGAGATCACTGATCAGAGAGGCAGCCAAGAGGCCCATGGTGACTCTGGATGAAATGCAGAGAGCCACAGCTCAGGTGGGGGAAACTGTCCACAGGACAACAATTAGTCGTGCACTACACAAATGTGGTCTTTATGGAAGAGTGGCAAGGAGAAAGCCATTGTTAAAAGAAAACCATAAGAAGTCCCGTTTGCAGTTTGCCAGAAGCCATGTTGAGGACACAGCAAACATGTGGAAGAAGGTGCTTTGGTCAGACGAGACCAAAATTGAACTTTTTGGCCACAATGCAAAACGCTATGTGTGGCGGAGAAAGAACACTGCACATCACTCTGAAAACACCATCCCCACTGTCAAATATGGTGGTGGCAGCATCATGCTCTGGGGGTGCTTCTCTTCAGCAGGGACCGGGAAGTTGGTCAAAGTTGATGGGAAGATGGATGGAGCCAAATACAGGGCAATCTTGGAAGAAAACCTGTTGGAGTCAGCAAAAGATTTGAGACTGGGGCGGAGGTTCACCTTCCAGCAGGACAACGACCCTAAACATAAAGCCAAAGCTACAATGGAGTGGTTTAAAAAAAAGAATATTCATGTGTTAGAATGGCCCAGTCAAAGTCCAGACCTAAACCCAATTGAGAATTTGTGGCAAGATCTCAAAACTGCTGTTCACAAACGCTCTCCATCCAATCTGACTGAGCTTGAGCTGTTTTGCAAGGAGGAATGGGCAAGAATTGCAGTCACTAGATGTGCAAAGCTGGTGGAGACATACCCTAAAAGACTTGCAGCTGTAATTGCAGCAAAAGGTGGCTCCACAAAGTATTGACTCAGGGGGGCTGAATAATTTTGCACATCGCACTTTTCAGTTTTTTATTTGTAAAAAATGTTTTGATTCATGTAAAATTTTGCTTCCACTTCACAATTGTATACCACTTTGTGTTGGTCTTTCACATTAAATTCCAGTGAAATATATTTATGTTTGTGGTTGTAATGTGACAAAATATGGAAAAGTTCAAGGGGTATGAATACTTTTGCAAACCACTGTAGTTTCAACATTTCTTCTGCTTTTTAAGCTATATTCTTGCAAGTATTTATTTAACTTTAGCTACATTTCTGTTTTGTTCAGCTTTCTTGACACTTTTTTGCTATTTTTCTACTGATTTATCACTTTTGTTTCCCTACTTTCAGTAAAAGTCAGCTATTAAACTGTTTCAGCTTCTTTCTTTCAGCAAAAGTCTTTTAGCATCTGGGCTTCACACTGCAGTTTTGAAGAAAACTCTATTTGTGTTGGCCATCACCATGTTTCCACTTTGATCTCTGTGATAAAACAAGTACAATCTGCATGTATTTGTGTGTGAAAGTATTTGAATATTGAGTAAAAAAAATGATCTTACTGTTTAGTTTGGTCAGAATTGTCTTTTCCGGGCTCCAGTCACTCCAAGGAGCAACTCCTTGTGCACATCGAACAGAAACTGTGTAGTTCCTGCAGGATTCCACTTCTTTAATACTGAGATTCTGAACAGTTACGGAAACCAGCTGCATTAAAAATAAAGTTTTGATTAGAAACATCTGCTCAAATAACATTTAATGACATGCGGCACACAACGGAGGCTTTATTTATATTCAACACCTTTTTCACCTTAATTAGTGTTATCTTCTTTAAACAAATATATTATTATATGTTTTAGAAAGGCGATTTGTTTTATTTTACCTCTGGAGTTTCATTGTTTGGCAGCAAAGCCTGGAACAACAAATATAGAAACAGATTAATTATCAACCAAAACAACAACAACATGGTAGCACTGAAGCTATCTACGAGGTGACATCTGGGTATTTTTTTTTCTTGCTTTTGCTTTACCACACAATACTTTTGTGTTTCTACACAATACTTTTGTGTTTCTACACAATACTTTTGTGTTCCCACACAAACTTTTGTGTTTCTACACAATACTTTTGTGTTCCCACACAATGCTTTTGTGTTTATACACAATACATTTGTGTTTCTTCACAATACTTTTGTGTTTATACACAATAATTTTGTGTTTCTTCACAATACTTTTGTGTTTCTTCACAATACTTTTGTGTTTATACACAATACTTTTGTGTTCCCACACAACACTTTTGTGTTTATACACAATACTTTTGTGTTTCTTCACAATACTTTTGTGTTCCCACACAACACTTTTGTGTTCCCACACAACACTTTTGTGTTTATACACAATACTTTTGTGTTTATACACAATACGTTTGTGTTTCTTCACAATACTTTTGTGTTCCCACACAACACTTTTGTGTTTATACACAATACATTTGTGTTTCTTCACAATACTTTTGTGTTTCCACACAACACTTTTGTGTTTATACACAATACGTTTGTGTTTCTTCACAATACTTTTGTGTTCCCACACAACACTTTTGTGTTTATACACAATAC